CTAAAAGACGGAACGTGAACATTGTTATATGGGACTCTAATTGAAGGTGAACCGATATGCCACCTTTTTGTTTGTTGTAGCATATGTAGTTATTCTTCCTGTTTGTCGAAATTAGGAAATGCAGCTAAGGTTCTTTTTTATAACATAGGACATTTCTCTATCTCTCTGGGTCACGCAGATCCTTTTGACACCGACCTAGTGGCGAAGTTCTATTTACCATATGTTGATTAGGATAATTCTATCTGAAGCTCCCAAGCAGATATTGCAACGAAAATAAATTTCTATGCTGACATAAGGAATGGATCTTCGTCTCTTCATGTAGATGGTCCACAGCAGGGACGTACGCAGGGGGGAGCCCTGGGGGCCCGAACACCCCCCGAAATGAATTTTTTTCACAGTAAATTTATGTTTGCAACAGCGAATTTTTTCATTTTGTACTACCGGTCTGATCATGACCTACTACGGAGTGTCAAAATTCATGGTGTGCATTAAAGTCCCCTAGTACCAGACCGTATATACACGTTTACTTCGGCAGTACCACATATAATCGCTACCCTCATACATTCCACAGAGTGCTGCATGGGGAAAGCTAAATCCCCACCTCCACTTCTCTTTATTTCAGCAGGGTTTGTCCTTGGAGCAAATAAGTGGGCTGTGCCAAATTTCATCTAATGTGGATCATGTATGCGATCTGTAATTTGTTTACAATTTAACATGAACAGACGGTGATGCATAAATCGACTTAGAAATTGATTCTAAAAGGAACAATGGGTTTATCTCGGATCATGTTACAATCATAAGCGCAAATACATAATATTCTGTACCACAGTGTGGCGAAGGGTATAAAACAATATATCCCGAATAAAATAGTAAAAATGTGTTTTACAGTAAGTTTATATTATACTGGAAAAATTTCCCACAGCTTACTGAATTAGCTCTAGTTTAATGTCTGTAAAGTTTTGTTGAAATCGGTTCTGATTTAGATATAGTTTTCATATCTAGATACGCCCGATTTAATGTAAATGGTGCACCAAACTCCCAATATTTGTCCTATTGAGACAACATGAAATAGGTCAATATTGATGTATATAAAGTTTTGTGGAAATCGGTCCAGATTTAGTCATAGCTCCCATATATAGTTTCGACCGATTTTAGGTAAATGGTGCACCAGACTTCCAATATGTGTCCGATTGAGACAAATTTTTGCACATCGTTCTGAAATAGGTCTATATTAATGTATGTATTTGTTGAAATCGGTTCAGATTTACATATAGCTCCCATACATTCTCTGTGATTATATAGCTATCGTATGAACTAGGATAAATCCATTCGATGGAAATCTTCCTTAATTTTAATTAAAAAAAAATTATATTTCCGCCATTTTTGTACGAAGTGAGAGCCAGACATGTACTCCTTCTAATGCCGTTGGAATTTTCGAATTTCGATGTTCCACTGAGGAGTTTTTATGCCAGCCATCAAAAACAAGTTATTTATACCCTATACCACACTGTGGTACAGGGTATTATGTCTTTGTGCATATGTTTGTAACAGGCAAAAGGAAACGAGATAGACACATGGTTCCTTTTGAGAATATGCATAGAATCACCACACGATGTATTTTTGTGAAGAAAGTACAGGTCGCATTTATGATCCGATTTGGATGAAATTTTGGCATAGGTCACTTACTTGGCCCAAGGACGAACCCTATTGAAATCGGGAAAATCGCCACCCGCCCCTTGCGTACGTCCCCGTCTCCATATATATCTTCGTCCGATTTAATATAAATGGTGCACCACAGTCCCTATATATATATCGATTTGCACGAAATTTTGCACAGCGTAATGAATTAGGTCTAGAATGATGTGTGTTAAGTTTCGTGAAAATCGGTCCAGATTTAGATATAGCTCCCATAAATATTTTCGTCCGATTTAATGTAAATGGTCCACCAAAATCCCTATATATATATATATATATATATATCGATTTGCACGAAATATGGCACAGCGTAATGAATTAGGTTTAGAATGATGTGTGTTAAGTTTCCTGAAAATCGGTTCAGGTTTAGATATAGCTCCCATATATATTTTCGTCCGATTTAATGTAAATGGTTCACCAAAATCCCTATATATCTTCCGATTTGCACTAAATTTGGCAGAGCGTAATGAATTAGGTCTAGCATGATGTGTGTTATGTTTCCTGAAATAGGTTCAGATTTAGATATAGTTTATAAATCTGAGCAAATGAAAAATTTAGTATCGGTTGCAGAATGACATGTTTATGGATCCAATTTCATTTTACTGGTCTTTAAAAATGCGACGTCTGTTAGGATTCATCTGTTGAATACACCCAAAGTGGTGAAGGGTATCATATAGTCGGCCCCTTTAAAATATTCAAATATGTGGAAAGTTACAAACCTTGACTTGCCCCCTGAAAATCTAAAAAAAATAAAATCGAGGACTGGAGGTTGCCTTTAATTTTTTTCAGAGCTTAAAAAATCTATTAGCTCACATAGTGGTGTGTATAAAAAGTTCGTTCCGCTGTACCTTACTTTTATTTGTAGTTACACATAAGCAAAGACAATAACATATTTTCTTAGTGAAACAATTTTTTTTTCAATACTGGCCCATTACTTCCCATTTTATAGTGTTAAATTTTTCAGAGGGCTTGTTAGCTTGACACGATTCGTCAGTACCACTTCTGCCTTGTCTATGCAACAATCATATCAACAGTACCTTCGTCCTTTACAAGTTGGATGAATGAAAGCTAAAGATCGCAAATTGTTTATGTTATGAGACCCTGGGGCAAATTCATCGTAGGTCAATTTTATTAGCTCGTGTATTGACTAACTGTTTAAGGATTTAACATTTCCCTATTGATTTGCTTAGTTTTTGGCTTCAAATTTTAGATTTATTTCGCCCATTATCCGACACCACATACCCGACACAAATTTTTGAGGTTACATCTTTCCGACATAAATATTAACGACTTGGAGCCATTAATATATATTTATATAACATTAACAATAATACGGGCAAAACTTCTACGAGCCCTACCGAATGATTTGCAAACTCCAATATATTATTATTACTTGTTAAAAAGTATGGCCATTAGGCGTTTTCGCAGTTACTTAAAAGAAAAATATTTACTTTATCGATATAAATAACTTTCCCCCTTAAATCGAACTTTTTTATTTCCCCAACATAATACCAACTCAATCTATATACATATACATAAATTACCAACATAATTCATGATGATGCTTGCTTATATTAACTTCTCCCCCTATAAATTCGCCCCATCATTGTTTCCATGCATACATACAAATGCGTATATCACATTACACTTACCTCTTGGTCATTGTGTTCGAATAGAGTAGACACGGCGCCGACAGGATACAGCTCAAAATCCATATTAATGCCAATATTATGCGTACTTTACGCCTTGACGTCCGACGCTTGAGTGGATGTACAATGGCTATGTATCTGTGAAATAAAAAATAGAACAAGAAGTAGGGGACGAGGTAAGAAAAACGAACATAAGATGAATGGTTATGGTTTATGGGGAATGGTAGAGGTGGTTAAATGATTTATTGTTAAACTCAGTAGAGCAGAAATATGAACACGCTCGAATCAATAAAGAGCAAAAAAAAAAAAACAACTCCATAAATTTTGTTACAAAACAAAAATATGACATGAGTTGGTAGTTTTGGTTTGCCATGTGTGGTGGCAACTTCATTTGAAAGTTTGTTTTCACAGGTGTTGCACCGTGTTCAGTGGAAAATTGTGTGTTCACCTTTGAAATATAAAGTTAGTGGACAAAGTTTTGACAAGCAAAATAAAAGCGGAGTTCAGTTCAATAAGTTCGATTCCAGAATATACATTGGAAACACACAATATTTATTGACGACAGGTCTGTAGTATAACTTTTATTGACGTTCGTAATTTTGGTACGAACAAGTAAAAATGTGTTATGTTCGCACTGGCCCAACTAGCTATGACATCTACCATAGGGATACTGACATTTATTTAAGATGAAGTTTTCAACAACGATATAAGGAATAGGGGGACATTGTTATGTAGGGTATTTAACATTGGGCGCCAGAAATACTAAATTGCAGATATTTTTGATGAAAAATTTTTCACAAGTCTCAACAAGCTCCCAAAATTTGGGTCAATATTGAAATAGTGTATTCACATCAAATAAAGATATCAAAATTGGAGGGTATAGTTATATGGGGCTATATCTAATCGTGCACAAGTATTTATAAATTTTGGTAAGCAGAGTTAGAATACAATGATAACTCAAAATGCAGAATTATTGAAACTCCAATTTCGCAGAAAATGCTTAATAGAAGGCCATGTTTTGGTCTATATTATATTTTCACAGCATTTTCGTATTTATAGTTAAATATTTTGCCACAGTCCCCATGTGCCACATTTGAAATATTTTTATGGTTATAGAGACACATTTTCCAACCGAAATGGTTGTTGTTTAAGGCTTTGTCGGCTCCTGAGTACTATCGTGTACTGGATTTATTAGGAGAGTCTCTCACTGCACCTTACATACCGCCTCCAACCAAGTCCCTATAGTGCGGACTTAACAGTTGTAATTAACCATTTCGAGTTCTTGGTGGACAAACATCTTTTTCTTGTCCATATTTTGGTGATTTTTATGATATTTTGAAGATATTAATCTAATTTTCCAACTGAAGTTCCTATAATTTAGACTTAGAGCTTCTACAGCCGCTGCGGATTTTATTTACATAGTCATTAAAGTCACAGTTGGTGTTGTCGGCATTTCACCCAGTGCACCATACTTATCACACGTCATTCTACACTTAATTCAGTACGCTATGTAAAATTCGTGAAAATCGAAAGATTTGCAAGGACCTTGATGAAACATTTACTTAAAATCAGATGAAACTATATATGGGAGCTATATCTAAATCACGTCATTCTACACTTAGTGCACCATTTACTTAAAATCTGACGATCCGATTTGCACGAAACTTTGCACACATCATTCGAGACGCTATACCAAAATCGAAAGATATAGGGGGCTTTGGTGTAGCACTTACATAAAATGGGACGATAATATATATGGGAGCTATATCTAAATCGAATTTAACACATTATTCTAGACTTAATTTAGTACGCTATGCCAAAAATCGTGCAAATCAAAATATTTACAGGGACTTTGGTGCACTATTTAACTAAAATCGGGCACAACTATATTTAGGAGCTATATCTATGTTTACACCGATTTTCACGAAACTTAGCACACGTCATTCTAGACTTAATTTAGTACGCTATGCGAAAATTCCTGCAAATCTAATGATTTTCAGGGACTTTGGTCAACTATTTACTTAAAATCGGACGAAACTATATACGGGAGTAATCTAAATCTGAACCGATTTTTACGAAACTTAGCACACATCATTCTAGACTTAATTTAATACGCTATGCTAAAATTCGTTCAAATCAAAGATTTGCAGGGACTTTGATGCACCGTTTACCTAAATCGGACGAAACTATATATGGGAAAAATCTGAACCGATTTGCACCAAACTTATCACACGTCATTCTACACTTAATTCAGTATGCTAAGCCAAAATGCGTGCAAATCTAATGATTTTCAGGGACTTTGGTGCATTTACTTAAAATCGGACGAAACTATATATGGGAGCTATATCTAAATCTGGAACGATTTTCACGAAACTTAGCACACGTCATTCTAGACTTAATTTACTACGCTATGCCAAATCTAATGATTTTCAGGGACTTTGATGGAACATTTATCTAAAATCGGGCGAAACTATATATGGGAGCTATATGTAAATCTGAACTGATTTTCCCGAAATTTAGCACACATCATTGTCGACTTAATTTAGTAAGCTATGCCAAAATTCGTGCAAATCTAATGATTTTCAGGGACTTTGCTGCACCATTTACCTAAAATCCGACGAAAATATATATGGGATCTATATCTAAATCTGAACCGATTTTCTCCAATTTCAATAGGGTTTGTCCTTGGGACAAACCAATGGGCTGTGCCAAATTTCATCCAATTCGGATCATAAATGCGACCTGTACTTTGCTCACAAAAATACATGGACGGACGGACAGGCGGACATGCATAAATCGACTCAGAATGTGATTCTATGCATATTCTCAAAAGGAACCATAGGTCTATCTCGACATAATACCCTGTACCACAGTGTGGTAAAGGTATAAATATTGGGATTTACAAAAATTGGATCAAACGATACATTCCATTATCTTAAATTGGGCTAAAAAAGTCAAATGTTGACACAGGATCGATCTAATCAACATTATAAAGGCATGGTTAACATATTAAGTTGTACAAATTTTAGTTCAAATTGAATAGTCCGTTCGCAATATATTTTATTACGATGTGCATATTTGGCATCAAATCGAAATTTCTACACAATTATTACTGGATTAACAAATTTTCAAAATGTTGACCCATTGTGGGGGAGGTACCAGAAGTAGTGGACCAATGGGTCCGGTATTTGGATGTGATCTAGGCTAGGTGAAAATATTACGATGAGCAAATTTTGTATAATATGTGGGGAGGTACTAGAAAGAGTGGAGCGATATGTCCCATCTATGAACAATATACAGGTATGGCCTGTTCGCATGCTATTTTCAAATGCATTTTCAGAACAGTTTTGACCATTTTATAGGGGAGCTACCATTTTATAGGAAGGTCTCCATCTTTGAAGATGATTTGAGTTTAAAGGAAATATTTCAATGTGAAACGTTTGGATCAAATCGGGCATACCATTATTAAAAATGTTGACCCTTTGTCGAGGAAGTTACCAGAAATCTTCGGAGAGGATCTAATAAGATGAGATTTAAAACCAATATTTCGATGAGGCACCTTTTTTCCGTATCAATGTGTATATACGATCATTAGCCATAAGGCTGAGGGTATAATACGCTTTATTATACCCTTCAACTCACGGTGGAACAGGGTATTATGCCTTTGTGCATATGTTTGTAGCGGGAAAAAGAGATAGACCGGGCGAGCTTTAAGATATATTATTTCTGTTAAGGATTTTTTGAACGAGTTTCTATCCATTTAATGTTATTTTACCTATCGCAGGCGATTTCGAAGGGTTGCTTTTGCCTATAATGGACCTTTGGTAAGTCGTCTGCTTTTATAAGGCAATCTGTTTATAGAAATCATTTTATTAGATCTTCCTGTGTCTATGGAAGTCCTTTAGACATTCCTTCTATTTACTGAAATTCTTTTGAAAAACCTATTGTGTATGGAAGTACTTATAAAACGTTGTATATCTATGGAAGGAGGTTTAAAAAGTCTTCTGTCTATAGAATAACTTTGGCAAATTCTTCTTCAGTCTATGATTTTTTGAAATGTAGTCTATGTATAGAAAATCTTTTGATAGGTCTTCTATTCATTCTAGATCTACTCTCTGTAATGAACAGAATGTCTATAGGTTGATTGAAAGTTCTTCACATCTTCTGAAAGGCGGTAATTTGATTTTTTTTATGTAAGATCTTAGAAAGGTATTCTGTTTAATTTTCGTATTCTAAAGATGTTCCTGCCAAACTGACAATGATTTAGCTTTTTGTCAAAAAAATTTAAAATGGTTTTTTTTCACACCTCACTGTGCCACGACCATTAAAATCCCCACAAAAACTCTTCATAAATTATTAACGAAGACAAAAAGAAATGGAACTCAGTTCAAATCGATATTTATACTCACCTATCGAAGGATATTGCCACTAGGGTGAAGACCGACGTCGACACCGTTACATTTGCCATGAAATTATTGATGGTGCAATAAATTGTGCCAAATGGCCAGTCCGAGTTCAGCATGAAAATGAAATTGAAAATACAATTCAGCGATGACATGAGCAAATCGGCAATGCTCAGATTCAACAGAAAATAATTTGTTGCCGTTCGCATGCTACGATGACCTGGAAAATAGAAGAAGAAGAAGCAGAAAAAGAGAACACAGAACACAGATTAGTACACAGAAAACAGAATTCATTTCATTGGACCTGGAAAGAACAACAAACGGGCATTGTTTGTTTTTGTGGTGGACTATTGTTGTGGTTGGGGGGAGGGTTTCATTGGGGGGAGATAGAAAGGAATTTCTTATAAATGCCACAGCAGCAGCAAAATATGCAAAAGGATCAGGTTTTACAATGACTTTTCGTCGTTTTTCTTTACAGCATAGTCATAAAAGGCGCAAACGGGGAGTTGGTGTGGAAATATGTATTTGTTATGACAAAATGAAAAATTCGTTATTTTCTTGTCTTCTTCATTTTCTTATTTTCCAAGAATTGGAACAATTGCCAATTGTTTGACATGACCTGAAGCAGAACAAATAATGACATTATTGAATTATTGTCCCTCTGATCTCTCTCGCTCTCTGCAATTCTCGTTTTCTGATTTCGTATTAATCAAATCCAAGAATTTAATTTCAAAGACAGAAAAGATAAATAAATCAATTCATGGAAACATAACCAATATTAGCATTAGGAAAACATTCAAGTTGATTAGTTAAAGCGAAGTGACTTTCCACACGTATCCTTAAGATCCAGTTCCACCTACCTACCACTCTGATGCCACAGAGTTTTTCTAAAGTGCAACAATTGAACTGCTGATAATCATCATTTGTTTTCTCAGCACTGCAGTGCAGTGCAATGCTGTTACCAAAACGATACCCAGCAGTCGTCTACTTATGTTGCCAGGATAAATATCAGCCATTCGTTCGCTCCACGTGTAACATGTTGAACAGTATCCTTCAGAAGGATGGCGGCATGGAAAGCAAACAACATTTACATTGCATTTGAATGCGACTTTGCATGAAAGATGATTTAATGGCATCGTTCAGTAGTATTTGAAAAAAAATGAAATGAAAACTTTACAAACTCAAACTGCCACAGTGGATGATGATTAATGGCTGATTTTTCTTTCTTTAATGAAAGTTAACATTCGGTTGAATGGCTTCCTTGGAAGTTGTTGGTAATAAATTCGAAATGTTTGTAATTAGAAGCGACATAAATCTTCTGCAATATTGTAAAATATGATGGAGAATTTTTTAATCGATTCAATTATGGAAATAGGTCAGCAGATGATCAATATTTCCAGAAAAAGATAATCAGGTCTTCTTCTTCTCCTTCTTGGACCGGTTTATAATAGAGGTCTTCTGTCTTCAAAAAAACCTGTATAAATCATAACCGATCTTTTTTATATCCGATCTTATAGAAGTCCGCTGTTCATATGATGTATATAAGCCTTCAGCGTCGTCTGTCTGTATGATAAAATGTTCACGTCTTTTTTACCCTCAGCTAAATGGCCAACGAGGTTATATACATTTTGCTATGGCAAAGATAAGCCTAATAAAAATATTGATTTTAGGTTCCGTGTTTTTTGGAACAAATCAGTTTCAGCCTACATTTCTTGGGATCAAATCCGTACCAGCAGCCGCCTGTGTGTCTGTCTGGCTGGTGCGCACGACAACTTTCGAAGTGAGTAACCGTTTTAAACCAAACTTTGCATATCGTAATATTTCCTCCCAATTTAAATCCAGTTCGAAGATGGAAATATCGGTCCATACTTTCTGGTAGCTACCACACAAAATGTTGCGGAATTTATACCACACTGTGGTATAAGGTATTATGTGTTTGTGCATATGTATGTAACAGGCAAAAGGAAACGAGATAGACCCATAGTTCCTTTTGAGAATATGAGTAGAATCTGCTTCTGAGTCGATTTATGTTTCTGAGTCCGCCCATCTGGCGTGTCCTTGTTAAATTGTAAACAAAGTAGAGGTCGCATTTATAATCCGAATAAAATGAAATTTGACAGAGCTCACTTATTTGGCATAAGGGAGAATCCTATTGAAATTGGAGAAAATCGGTGCAGATATATATATATATATATATATATATATTGAGTATATGTAGATCCCATATATAGACCAGTGAGCGGAGCAGTATAGTCGGACGGGGCCGACCATGCGATACCCTACACAACATCCATGAAAATCTAACTTTCTGTGGTTCTATATTCTGAGATTGGGCAATATTTCGCGATATTTGCACACTTTTGACTGGCTAGAGGCCAACAAATGTTACTAATAATCAGTACAGCTCCTCTAATTATTTGTCCAGGTTCTCTTCACCGTGGGTTGTGTTGTGATGTTCGGCTTTCGAACATCAAATAATTAAGTTTTCGGTCCACTTCATCCGAAAAATTATTATCTGATCATCACAAAACATTTTAGGCGTTGTCCTTGACCATAACTCGAACCTCATGGAACATTTCAAAGCGATCAGCGCTATAGTTCCGCCCTCCAGTGTGGTAATTGGTTACTAAATAATATATGAATACGTAAGACCTGTAAATATTTAAGTGTAACTCCCGCATCCGAGTACCTACGGCAATAAAATTGGTATCAATTTAAAGGTCAACCAATCCTCTTGGATATACTATCAACTTCTCGGATCTATGTCCTTCAGTGGTAAATATAAACGCTATTGAATACAAATTTTGTAATTTTTCACACAAAAGTTAGGGTCCATTTAACCCGCTAAATATTGACCGATCTTTATCAAAACAGGCATGTTTGTTCTTTGGCCAGATCCCCTTCTCTATGCAGAAATTCGAGGTGTTTGGGCCATAATTGCGGCCTCTGGAGCGACCAGAAAAACCGACAAAAATAAAGTTTTTGGTCCATTTCGTCCCCTAAACATTAACCGATCTTTTCCAATAGGGGTTTTCATTGGCCAGAACCCATCCTACATGCAAAATTTCGTGAAGATTGGTCCATAACTGTGGCCTGTATCGTGTTTACAAATTATAATGGACAGACGGACGGACGGACACACATGTCTAGATCGACTCAGCTAGTCGAGATATGACGATCGGTATACTTAAAGGTGGGTCTAGGACCAATATTTCGCGGCGTTACAAACTTTTGGGGCTGCACAAAGCTATAATACCCTGACAACATAGTTGTGTAGGGTATAAATACAGTACCGCATTAAGTCTGTAATGATGTGTGCGAAGTTTCGTTGAAACTGCCAGTTACAAATCTATGCACAAAGACATAATACCCTGTAACACTGGGTGGTGAAGGGTATTAAAACGCGCTCAAAAATTCCAAAATATCAAAAATTTAGGAGTACCGTTATATGGGAGCTATGCCTAAATTTGTACTGATATAGTCCATCTTCGACGATGGCCTGCCTGCAGACAAAAGACAATTCTATACAAAATGTTGGCTTTCTATCTGAATTTGTTGAGGCTAATGTGATTACAACAAACGGACGGACATCGTCATAGAATTTTACGCTGATTAATAATACATACATTTTATAGGGTCGGAAATGATTATTTCGATGAGTTACAAACGGACGGGGCAGACCATATGACACCCTACCCTACACAACCACCACAAAGCTCTAAGTTTCTGCGGATCTATATTCTGAACCTGGGAAATAGTTGGCGATATTTGATCAAAACCTCTTCTGCTTCTTCTTTTTCCAATTATGTTTTTCCGGAGTAAACATTTATTCCATAATTAGTTGGTCAGATCGCCTTTCCCACGGAAAATTTGTGATGTTCGGGCAATAATTGTGGCCTCTCGAGCCACCTGAAAAAGTTTTTGGTCCATTTCATTATTTCCATTTCATTTCATGGTAATACTTAACAATATAGGAATATGAAAACTCCTGTAAATATTTACGAATAACTTCCACATCGGAGTACATACAACAATCCCCTTATTCGAGTAAAATTTCGCGTCAAAAATAATGTTTTTGGTCCATTCCATACATGCAAAATTTGGTGACGATTGGTCTATAACTGTGGTTTGTAATTTAGCGTTTGGCCATATGGAAGCAACTCATAATAAATAATCCCCTTCTAGTCTCTCCAATTGCATAGCTGAAGCTTCCTGGTCTTTAGTCCTGGTTTGGCCATCGGTTGATGTGCTTCACCGCTCTTAGACCTCGACCGTTTTCACACATTTTGTACCATCCCTTTAAGAAATTAGTCTATCTCATACCGTTTGGCCAAGGTTTCGCCGATGGAAATTCTATCCATCCTATTTATACCCTTCAACACACTGTGGTACAGGGTATTATGTCTTTGTGCATATGTTTGTAATAAGCAAAAGGAAACGAGATAAACCAATAGTTTCAGATTTAGATTTAATACCAGTAAGGAAAGTAGTAAAGTCGGACTGGGCCGACTATATGATACCCTTCACCACTTTGGGTATATTGTACATATATATCCTAACAGACGTCGCGTTTTTGTTATTTATTTATATCTGAACCGATTTCAGGGAAACTAACCAGAGACTAACTTATATTACTTCAGTACGTTGTGTCAATCGGCCTAGCTATGGATCTTTTCACGAAGCTTAGCAACATCATTCTAGACTTAATTCAGTACTCCATGTCAAAATTCATGGAAATCGAAAGATATATAGGGACATTGGTGCACATTTTACCTTAAATCGGGCGAAGATATATATGGGAGCTATATCTAAATCTGAACCGATTTTTACGAAACTTTGTACACATCATTCTAGACTTATTTCAGTATCTAAATCTGAACCGATTTTCACGAAACTTTGTACACATCATTCTAGACTTAATTCAGTACGCTGTGCCAAATTTCGTGCAAATCGAAATATATATAGGGACTTTGGTACACCATTTACCTTAAATCGGACGATTCCCAATTTCAATAGGGTTCGACCTGTGCCAAATTTCATCCATTTCGGATCATAAATGCGACCTGCACTTTGTTTACAATTTAACATGGACAGACAGACGGTCGGACGGACGGACATGCATAAATCAACTCAGAAAGTGATTCTATGCATATTCTCAAAAGGAACCATGGGTCTATTTCGAGTATTTTTGCCTGTTACAAACATATGCACAAAGACATA